TGGCTTTTTGCATGTCTGAGAAAAAAATTTTTCAAAAATTTTCATGAATATTGGTTTTTAATTTTTTCTCGCCGCAAAAATGATGCTAGAGGGCTGTAAATTTACGTGAACTCACTTCCCATCATGCCCAACATGTGTGCGAAGTTTGGGATTTGTGGCTTTTTGCATGGCTGAGAAAAAAATTTTTGAAAATTTTTCAAAAATTTAGGTTTTTAATTTTTTTCGCCATATACATGATCCGGGAAGGCCCAAAAAACTCAAGTGCATACTTGCAATCATGCCCAACATACGTGCAAAGTTTGCCGCTTGTGACTTTTATTTTGGAGGAGGAAATAGCTTTTGAAATTTTCCCCAAAAAATTGGTTTTTAATTTTTTTCTCGAAAAAATTCATAATGATGACCTCCTCAAAAAGTTCCCCCAGGACATGCTCATGGTCCCCATATGCTCGAAAAATTTCAGGGCGGCAAGTTGAGCAGTTCTCCCAAAAAATCGAAGGTTAAAAAAAATGTTTTAATTGAGTGGACATATACATGTTCCGAGATAGCCTAAAAAAGTTTATGGCATACCTGCAATCATGCTCAACATGTGTGCAAAGTTTGCCACCTGTGACTTTTGTCTTTGCCGAGAAAAACTCGTTTGAAATTTTCCCCACCCCGCGGATGGGTAGAAACTTGAAAAAAATCGACCAAAAATGTCAAAAAAAAACGTTTTTTCCGAATTTTGAAATTTTTTCAACGCCATATCATAAAACAAGTCTGGGGATGATTTTTCATCTAAATAAACGTTCCTGTGAGATGCACGGATTTCGAGTTATTTCACCTTGAATTTTTGCCAAACAGTCGAAAAATCCCTTTTTTTCGAATATTTCGCGAGCCAAGCACTTTTTCGAGAAATCGCTCGAAATAAACCCCTATTAACTTTTAATTTTAGACTATATGACGTAAAAATTTCCTCTCTAGCTTCAACTGTTTGGCCTCCACAGAAAACTGGCAAAAAATTCAATCGGCTTTTTCTCGGCGGAGGAAGGTCCCATTGGACCCTTGATTTTTTTCAACATTAAGCTAGGGATTCTCTACATTATTATCATATTTGCGACACTAAGAATATTCACGGGTCTCTTTTTAAAAAATCCCAAAAATTTGTTAAATTTTTCACTTTCAGCCCCCTGGGCATTTTTGAGGGGATCAGCTCAGAATTTTCCGGAAACATGCCCCACATCAGGAGAAGAAAAGGAGCCGAGTTTGAAGCGCGTGCAAGCAGCGGCTGATTTTTTTTTTTGAATTTTTCAAGAAAGCCCCCTCTCTTGGGGATTGGCCACTTCCCCATGGGGATTTTCGGGAATCCGACTCCTGATTCGTCAATAGGAAATCGAGCTCTATTATGAGCCAAAATTTCAGCTTCCTGGCAGGCCTGGAACATAGGAAATGCTACCAAAAGGCTACAAATCGTGAAAGGTACTAAAGAGGGCCAGTAGACCTCGTCCTCGTCCAGATACGATTTCTGGCCTAGGTGCGGGATTTTGTTTTAGTGTTTTTCTTCGAAAATTTTTTCGAGTCCAGACGCGTGTAATAAAAAAGGAGCACCAAATATAACAGAAAACCATGCTTGTTTGCTTGGCATATGATACACATATGGTAGAAACATATGGCCATCAGTTCATATTTCCCGATGGATGAAATAGTAAAAAGAAATTGATGGAAGTGTTAGAACATTACTCGTATTTCCGCTCTTTGAAAGTAACGAGTTTTAATCATCGTCTGGTGGAGGAGGCACGAATAAAAATAATCTACTTCTCCTCATTTTTATTTATCAATCATAATGGCAAAAATAAAATAAGCTGATTAACATTACTGATAAATAATCCGTAGCAAATTGTGACGCACATTAAACAGGTTGAACATAAACCTTATCGTAAACGATCTGGTTTACGCGACATAAAAACTGTCAAAATCATGGAAGGACAATAATTGTATAATACTGAACACAACAGCTCCATCATACTTCAATATAATTGAAAAAATACCGATTAGAAATTAACAAGATATAAACCTGTAAATAATATATAAATCTGAATAATTATTTAAGAAAACACGTTGAACATTTATACGTTGCCATTTAGAATTATACATCAATAGTAATTCTATGGGAATTATTCCAAATTATCAATTAACAGACAACATTTGTATCGAGCGAACAGTATTTCGGCGCCCAGATTACGTATTTCAGCGCTAACATAAAATTGCCCTGAATGCTGCCACTCTCGCTGCGCCGTCTAACGCTTTAGTAATCGCTAAATATTGCAATAAACTAAGCGTAAGCATTGCAACAACTGAAAGGATCAAATGTAGAACAAGTAGACAGACAAATTATAGAATCCGGACGCATCACGAATACATTTCCATGAAATTTTTCATTGATCGCCACGTCTGTCTAAGAAACTTGGTGAAGGCATCGTAGTCGCTAGAGAATTGCTGGATCAAATATTTCGTGCCTCGTGGCAGAAAATGAAGTGAAGACCACACGATGGTCTGCAGCCGTACATCAGCAGTAATGTAGTGAAGACCACACGATGGTCTGCAGCCACACAACAGCAGTAATGTAGTGAAGACCACACGATGGTCTGCAGCCACACAACAGCAGTAATGTAGTGCAGACCACACGCTTGTCTGCAGCCACACAACAGCAGTAATGTAGTGAAGACCACACGATGGTCTGCAGCCACACAACAGCAGTAATGTAGTGCAGACCACACGATGGTCTGCAGCCACACAACAGCAGTAATGTAGTGAAGACCACTTGTTTAGAAACAGGAATAACATTTGGGACGATCATGTTCCCAGTTCTTGAAAGCAATTGACGTTATTTTAATAACATACACAACTTTATTAGGTTACAGAACGTGTGGAATTAGATTGAGATGCATGGAATCAATTGAAATAAATAATAAGCTAGATGCATCAACAATTTTGTTTGTCGATAAAACAACAAAACCTTCCTGACCTCTGAAATACAAATTCAAAACAATACATGATTGCATGACATACACATATGATTCGAAAAATAAATGATTTATAATTTATGATAAATTCAACTTGATCCTGTAAAGTTCCACGATGACATAAGAAACTAAATATTCCGGACAACAAACTATCTTGGTGACGTTTTTAAGCTACATAAGAGTTGACCGAATATCAGTATCAGCACGCGATTGATTTGGGCACATGTTGCCTTATAAAGGCGAGGGTTGCCTTATAAGAGCACGTGTTGCCTAATAAGAGCATAAGTTGCCTTATGAGGCGCATTTTGCCTCATATGAGCACATGTTGCCTCATAAGAACACGCGTAGCCTTATAAAGGCGAGGGCTGCATCATAAGAGCAATCAAGTGTTGCATGACAAGATCACGTGTTGCATGACAAGATCACGTGTCGCTTGACAAGAGCACGTGTTGCATGACAAGATCACGTGTCGCTTGACAAGAGCACGTGTTGCATGACAAGATCACGTGTTGCTTGACAAGATCACGTGTCGCTTGACAAGAGCACGTGTTGCATGACAAGATCACGTGTCGCTTGACAAGAGCACGTGTTGCATGACAAGATCACGTGTTGCTTGACAAGAGCACGTGTTGCATGACAAGATCACGTGTTGCTTGACAAGANACAAGAGCACATGTTGCTTGACAAGAGCACATGTTGCTTGACAAGAGCACATGTTGCCTCATAAGAACAATAAAGTGTTGCATGACAAGAGCACATGTTGCTTGACAAGAGCACATGTTGCCTCATAAGAACAATTAAGTGTTGCATGACAAGAGCACATGTTGCTTGACACGAGCACGTGTTGCTTGACAAGAGCACATGTTGCCTCATAAGAACAATTAAGTGTTGCATGACAAGAGCACATGTTGCCTCATAAGAGCACGTGTTGCCTCATAAGAACAATTAAGTGTTGCATGACAAGAGCACATGTTGCCTCATAAGAGCACGTGTTGAGGACCGTGCGCACCTGTGCTGGCGCTCTTGCCACACACCAAATGTTGCTATGACGTCAGCAGGAACTTGTAGCGTAAAATTATGATCACTTTGAAGCCCACACAATACGGAGGTTTTTTATAATAAGAAATAGACAGGATATTTGGTGAGAGTGAAACATGTGTCAGGAAGACGACGAGCAAAGGTGAAATCCTTGAGGTTGCCATTATTTAGCAATAATTTATTTGCATAAACGACTTGCAGGAAGTTCCGTAGGGCGCCTCAATTATTCTAATGCACACACTAAACTAATTATATGAATAATTTGGTAATAGAGGAGCGAAATAACGAGCTCACTTGACGACATTAATTGATTAACCTCGATGGTTCTTACGATAAATTACCGAGACTAAGTCCTGAGCAACTAAGAGAAAAAACGTTACTGTAGTTTCCTTGTGACATTCAGGTGCAGACAGGATAAATATCATAATAAATCTTGTAATATTTCTCCGTTGTATTGGAGAATACTTTTAAAACTATTTATTTGGTGGATGTTAATAAAATTATTTCCATTAAGAATAAAGAAACTTGGCACAATGTTTATGTTTTTAAGCTTCAAATGATGACATCGTCAGATCACGAATAACATTTATCGGCGTCAGGAGTTGACGTGAGGAAGTTAGCAGGGAAAGCTGCGTGGCCACCCTGCCCTAGAGCCTCGTACAGCCATGCAATTAAATAGCAACTAAGAAGACTATGCAAACAACAACAATAAATAAGATTACACATCGATAACACATACACTAGGAGATTTTTCCAGAGATTCTCAAGTTATTGTAATCTCTAGCTTCATTAGCAGCAAGTTCAATTAAAAATAAAGCCTATTACAATACCCTTCTACTAAAAATTAAACATTACTAATAGCGTATAATAACTTCACAATAAACAACTGAATCGATTCGCGCTAAAAGTTCCAGATATCAGGGAAATGTTATTTATTCTTATAAGTTACATTTCTCTAAAGTAAACACAAATTTGTGGCGGCAGAAAACAAACTGGATGCTAGTAGGGCAAGAGGCAGACCACCTAACAGAGCCAGACAAGAGGTTCCCTACAGAAGAAAATGGGAATATCCTCCTACAATAGGGAAAATATCTCCCTACAGTAGAAAAAATTTCTCCCTACAGTAGAGAAAATATCTCCCTACAGTAGAGAAAATATCTCCCTACAGTAGAGAAAATATCTCCCTACAGTAGAGAAAATATCTCCCTACAGTAGAGAAAATATCTCCCTACAGTAGAGAAAATATCTCCCTACAGTAGAGAAAATATCTCCTTACAGAGGCCAATGAACACAAATGATAAGTTTAGACACTGAGACTATGTGGTGAGATATAAGAACGTTTGTAAAACGAATCAATGAGATCCTAGGATATATCCAGCACCTAGTGGTCAGTATAATGCGCAGTGACGCGAGCTGCTATCAGTTGGAGCGTCGTGAAGCAAGTTCATTTGAGACCAGTAGACGGCGTCACACAGACCCAACACATACATCACAAAGACCTAACACATCCATCACACAGATCTAACACATCCACCACACAGATCTAACACATTCATCATCACATATTATCATTGCAAGTTTCAGATCGAGCCAATAGCTCTTTTGGAAGAAGCTCAACGGTACGCACAATTTGTCACACGACATTGAGAATTGAACATTAAACATAAACAATGGAATAAATGAACATTAAGATAAGATGGTGTCTTGAATTAATAGTGCTACAATACTCACTGGGTTTACTAGAGTAAAATTAGGAATTAAAGAGATTCAAGATCGAGCAATAAAAAAAAAGGCTTAAACACAACTGTAGCTTGTGACATCCATCGTGGCCCGAGACGACTGCTATGTATAAAACATATACTAAGGACACTAAGGATAAGGATACATTCAGTCAGGACATCTCACATCCAAGGAAAGCTCGCCGCATAGAAAGAGCAACATGAAGTTATGTGCACGGCAGTATTTCTGGTCGCGACTTTTGCTGTGGCGGCGACAAGCAGCGTGCAAACAAAACAATTCATTTATTCGCGTGGACAAGCCATACACTTAGTGCAAGGAGGGGCCAAACAGTCGTAACAAGCTCTTCTTTATAAACCAAACCAGACGAGTGACAACAGCGCAACATAAATTTCCAATTAACTGGGAAAATATATTACAAGCGAGCTATGATTTTCAATTTTGGATTCTAAATTAATGGCATCCCATATTTAAAGTTAGCTAATTAAGTAGGTTCCTATAAAGTCAAGTTGTTTTCTTCACTTAGTGGTACTTTAAACTTAATGATGAATTCTTGATACAAGTCACTTTATGAAGCTAACAGGTTAAAATTCAATGAGATTTCTAGTAGTTTCCGTAAACCATAAAAATGTAAACGCTTGAATGAATATAAATTTAAACATTTCATTCACGACAGCAACGAATTATTTGAATTTCATATTGTAGCTTACGGTCCTTCAAATGAATTATACTGATTGCCCTCGTACGCCTGTTGTGTCATGGTTTGTGCGAGACTACCTGTACGATATTAAAATATTCGCCTTTCTAAGACACTAGCATCAATTTACAATAGAGATATATTTAACTAAAATAAATAACTTGAAATGAAGGTGGATTTTACTAGCATCGAAACACGAGGAAGAACAAGCCTAGCTTAAGATAAGACATAGAGCAGAGAATGGAGAAGTACATTCAATCCTTTGAAGCGCAAGAACAACACGGCAAACTCACGGCAAGTCGAGAGAGCTTTAACTTTCATGGCAGTTGAGAGCACCTGCTCATGCTGCCGCGGTTACAGCACATGCACGAAACGTTTATAAAAGTTTGTTCTCAGAACAAAAATGAAAGGAAACGGAAACAAGCTGGAGCAACTGTCGCAAAGATTATCGATGGCGACAGTTGCCTTTCAGTTCAGCTGCCTGAGGTAGACTTTCAAGAGCTTCAGAAAATAAATTCAAAGTTCAGAAGGAACAACTTGGCATGCATACATAACTTACTGACTACAACAGACAAGACCCGACCATTAACGTAAGGAAGCAACCATCATATCAATATTTGATATACTGCATAGAGGCAAGCAATCGATCTCATGCTGTTTCAAAAATTAATATATAAAGAAAGCACTATAGTGTTATAGAGAGGAAATTTCCGCATAAATCTTAAGGAAATTTCAAACACCACATAATATTTTCTCTGAAAAGTAAAACATTAAATGGAAGGAAAAGGACAAGACATCGAGAGGAAGTTCGTATTGCGGAGTTGAGCTATAGGCCACAGCCAGTTGAACGCCAGCCTTCAATTCAGTGCTCCGACATAAGAATTAAGAGATGGGTCACTGTGAGGTAAGTCTCAATAGATATTCATTGAAACTGCAATATTCAGAGATATTCATTGAAACTGCAATATTCATTGAAACTGCAGATCAGAGATTTACAAGAGAAATAAGTTTAAAACAGCCTTTACACAACTGACTCCTCGTCATATAAGTGGTCTTGTGTTACATGCAAAGAGTCTGAATTGTCTATGAAATGCAGGTAAGAATATGTGACGGCAGACGTGGTGATGCCGTCTACCTCACGATGCCCATTTTCTGCATGTTCCTCAAGAGCCTCTGTATGTTGTCGGCCGCGTGCTCGCGCCCAGGCTTGATGTTGCGTGTGGGGTTCTTGACGGTGCGCGTGTGCCACACCAGCACCTCGGAGCAGCCGTTGGCCAGCGGCTCAATGTCCTCGAATTTTACGTTCAGTGACTTCAGGAAGCCATCTTCTTCAAAGCCAGCTGAGTATGGCATGGTCACTCGAGGCTGCAACACACAAAGCCAGCTGAGTATGACATAGTCACTCGAGGCTGCAACACACAATGGCCGCCAATCATAGCAAGTAGCATTATCTATCCAGCACAAAGTCAAACACTTCAGGGATAGATTAGGCTGACAGTCATTCAGCGGACAACAGTCCAGTGCTAAGTTGAGACTTTCAGTTATCATAAGAATATTTATGATCTCAGAAGTAAAAAAAACTGAATTATGCTGTGTCAGTCAGACCCAATTGGAACAGAACTGTTGCCATCTATTGGCCAGGAACGAAATATTCTTGAGATATTCATATAGGAATAGCTGGCTCTCATCAAGTCACGTATAAGTTTTTCTGCATGTATTAGTGCTTACCTGTTTGTTCAAGTAAGCCATGTTGATGGCAAAGCCTGCCATGTCTACCTGGAATTTGCGACCAGCGGGCCACCCGTCGTAAAAGCCAATCACTTTACCTTCCTGTGAGGTTTGAGAAATTATATTTCAGTTGCGATATGGACCTTATAGTGAGGAACAAAGCTATGAATAATTTGGAATGTGGAAACATACAACTACCAATAGTTTACGTAGAAGAAGAACACTTTTTTCAAAATGAATGAGGAAGCAAAACTGTGTGATAATGTACGCGATGAAGGCCCCGATCAACCCTACAAATAAATAACATCAAAATATCTATCTAAGGAATCAAAACTGTGAACGCGGGCTACAAAACAAATATTAACAGTTGACTGTTATTACATAAAGGTAATACACCCAATTCGAAAAGGAATAGTCTCGCCTTCGGCAGCCTACAATTGAAAATGCTAAGAAAACGAGCAATGATGGAAGAAGCTTACCTTGTTGAGAACGGGGGAGCTGACGCTGAGCTTGCCTATGAGGCCAACAGGAAACATTGAGACCTTCTCAGTAAAACGGATCTGTTCAAGAAGCCGCACGTCGATGGCATTGTCGTCGTCGAGGAAGTAGAGAACAGACTCAGGCACCGCGTTGTCCTGCAGCCATGCGAGCGCGGCACGGCGGTTGGCCACTCCGCGCGGGACGTAAGTCACGTGGCGGTACACCGGCGGCATCGGCGTGGCTAGGTGCGTGAAGGGAAGACCTGTTGCCAGAACTGAGATTAGTGTCTTAGTTAGGTGCGTGAAGGGAAGACCTGTTGCCAGAACTGAGATTAGTGTCTTAGTTAGTTGCGTGAAGGGAAGACCTGCTGCCAGAACTGAGATTAGTTTCTTAGTTGCTTAGTTGCGTGAAGGGAAGACCTGCTGCCAGAACTGAGATTAGTGCCTTACTCAGGTGCGTGGAGGAAATCTGACTGACTCGAGGGAGAACAGTTTCCAGCAAAAGCACGAATATAAATACCATGATTGGACAGAATATTCCAAATTGAAAATATACCGAAAACTATAAACATCCCTTATCAATACTATTGAATACAAGTCACTTCTCGACTTAGAGCTTAGTCTGCAGTTCAACAAACTGCACGCAAAATGCAAATTGCCTGATCCCTATTCAACAGATTTGACAATACGATTCAAAACCAACATCTAGTATTCCCTTCTGCCCATGTCTTATAGTATAGTCCATACATACAGTGGGGGGAAATAAATATTCGTACACTTGAAAAATCGTATTTTAATGTATGTAAGTACACAAAATTAACAGGAAAAGTGATTTAAATTATGTATATAGATGCATAGTATTCAAAAATACTATCAAAAGAAATTAAATCTCAATGCAACAAAAAACAATGCAACATGTTCACTTTTCGGGTGAAAAAAGTATTCGTACAAAACAATAAATCCGCATTATTTTAATTTAATACTTGGTTGAATACCCTTTATTCCTGTCTCTTATACACATCTAGATGTGTATAAGAGACAGGTATGATTTGCAGATGCTGACTGGTATTTTATACCATTCTTCTTGGCACACCACCTTAAGATTCTCAATGTTTGTTGGGGACCTTTTCTTAATTTGAATCTTCAAATACCTGTCTCNATGAAGTATAATCAAGTCACAGAAGATGATGAAGTATAATAATCAAGTCACAGAAGATGATGAAGTATAATCAAGTCACAGAAGATGATGAAGTATAATAATCAAGTCACAGAAGATGATGAAGTATAATCAAGTCACAGAAGATGATGAAGTATAATAATCAAGTCACAGAAGATGATGAAGTATAATCAAGTCACAGAAGATGATGAAGTATAATAATCAAGTCACAGAAGATGATGAAGTATAATCAAGTCACAGAAGATGATGAAGTATAATAATCAAGTCACAGAAGATGATGAAGTATAATCAAGTCACAGAAGATGATGAAGTATAATAATCAAGTCACAGAAGATGATGAAGTATAATCAAGTCACAGAAGATGATGAAGTATAATAATCAAGTCACAGAAGATGATGAAGTATAATCAAGTCACAGAAGATGATGAAGTATAATAATCAAGTCACAGAAGATGATGAAGTATAATCAAGTCACAGAAGATGATGAAGTATAATAATCAAGTCACAGAAGATGATGAAGTATAATCAAGTCACAGAAGATGATGAAGTATAATAATCAAGTCACAGAAGATGATGAAGTATAATCAAGTCACAGAAGATGATGAAGTATAATAATCAAGTCACAGAAGATGATGAAGTATAATCAAGTCACAGAAGATGATGAAGTATAATAATCAAGTCACAGAAGATGATGAAGTATAATCAAGTCACAGAAGATGATGAAGTATAATAATCAAGTCACAGAAGATGATGAAGTATAATCAAGTCACAGAAGATGATGAAGTATAATAATCAAGTCACAGAAGATGATGAAGTATAATCAAGTCACAGAAGATGATGAAGTATAATAATCAAGTCACAGAAGATGATGAAGTATAATCAAGTCACAGAAGATGATGAAGTATAATAATCAAGTCACAGAAGATGATGAAGTATAATCAAGTCACAGAAGATGATGAAGTATAATAATCAAGTCACAGAAGATGATGAAGTATAATCAAGTCACAGAAGATGATGAAGTATAATCAAGTCACAGAAGATGATGAAGTATAATCAAGTCACAGAAGATGATGAAGTATAATCAAGTCACAAAAGATGATAAAGTACAATCAAACGGGGTAATAAGGGACGGTTTTGAGAGTTCTTTGTTACTAACTTCTCACCATGAAACATTTCATATATACAAGTTTGGGCTCATTTTAAAGCTCATTGCGAGTGCTATTATAGGGCATCTTCAAAAAAATTCTATATGCTATTTGTAAGGTGCCAGAAGACCCATAATAAAAGCTTCCCAAATTACCCCTGGGAATGGGGGTAATCCGGGACACTTGAAAGAAAACTTGATTTTAAAATGTTTGTAGATACCTAATGTAGCTGTAGAATAAATGACCTTTTCTGTGATTTTTACTTGTATTTCCTTTATTGATACAATATTACGTACTATATCCATGCATTACTGTATTATTGATGTGATATTACCGCATCCTTGAACATGCCATTGAGCATTTACAACAATTTGTCCACTTCAAGCTTCATATCAGCAGCTGACTAGCATTTCTTCTGTAGCTGTAAGCTTACAGGACGGCTTGTAATTTCACACTATTTTAATTGGGTCAAGTGTATTCACTAAAGAAGAAAGATCATAAAAACCATGCCTGAAACAGAAAGGATTATTTTAGTGGCAACCACAATATCTTGTGGAGAAATAAATCGTAGTTTAGGTTAATTACTTTTCATTCTATGTTGCCCGGTGCACAATTCTATCTATGACATTCTATGCACAATTTTGTGATGACCTATGATGCATTAATTTTCCATCAGTTAAATTTTTTGCTAAGTGATGTAAATGTAATCAAAATTTTTTGTTGTTGTTTTATTTTTGTTAACTGGAGCCTCTGCTAATCAAGGTTTTACCGTAAATACATTTTTAGGGGTGTCCCTTATTACCCCATCACACCGAAATGCATGCAATTTTTTGGGGATGAGATCTGCAAATTCCATCAATCACGTTTATAAGCCAGCACCTGTGTGCAACTTTTATGTAAGTAAAATTTTTTAATACATCAAATATTTTCTTTTTTTTTTGCTACAGACCTTGGCAGAGGGTACTTGTCCAAAATCTCTTTTCACACTTTTTTCAGGGATTTTTCAGAGGTAGATAGTAAATGAATGATTTCTTAACTTGCTTTATGCTACATAGATAGTACTAGTAAATAAAAACCAATAAAAAAATTTTTAAAAACCACTTTTTCTTAATGGACAAAAAAGAAAAACATTTACTCTTACATAACATTTAAGTTACCTATGTAAAATGTAATGTAATGTTATGTAAGAGTAAATGTTTTTCTTTTTTTGACTGTTAAGAAAACGTGGTTTTTAAAGTTTTTTTTATTTGTTTCTATTTCACTATTTATAGTTTTGTAAAAACCAGAAAAATGTGGTTTTTAAAAATATTTTCTATATTTTTTTAATTTCTACTTTTTAGTTAGCAATTGTAGCAATTCAAATCAATTTACAGGGTTGGCATGTATGGATGTTCGAGAAAAAACTCAATTCCAAACCGTGAATTTTTAGTGTTTATATATTTTTTTAAATAAAAAAAAATTTTAAATCATTATTTCTGATGATCAAATCTTGAATTGTTAGGCAGCATAAGCATGCATGCCAAATTTTAAGTTTCTAGGATCTTCAGAAGTGCTCTAAATTAAGGTTTAATTTTTTGATGACAGACACGAAACGAAGTCAAGAAAACCGTGGTAAAATGTTGAACTTTATGCCACTATTTTTAGTTTTGCAAAATATCAATTAGTTTAGATGCTACAACAGTTCTACAAAATGTCAGAGGATTGTCCCAATTTACCCTGCCTGGCCCTTATTGCCTACCCTGTTTGATGGTATTGTAAAAAAAAGACTTTTTGGGCAAACAAAAAAAAAGTTTTTCTGGGCAAAGCAAAAGAATTCTTTACTGAATAAAATCAAGGGCAATGTTTTTAGTACTGGGTTGTCAGTTATTACTCACTCCATGTTCTTAAGTCTACAGTGAGCCTGATTGCTGAATTATTCATTTACATTCAGTTCAATCGAGACTATTCACTCAGAAAAAAGATGATATCAATGATTAATCAAACAATGGCAATATCATAAAAAGTAAGAAAATTGGATAACCTCACCAGCTGTGCGCCAAAACTTGCAGTTCTCTCCAGGGATGTGGCGCAGACTTTCCTGATTTCTGTCTTGGGAGGCTCAGCGGGACCTGTGCTGCCTACTGCCTGGGAAGAGTGCATTATGTTAGTTTTAATCTTCAGCTGTTACACCTTATGAGTGATGAGTGCAATTATTTATATATTTGTATTCATTCACATGAAAAAGGACCAGGCAAAAGGGCCTTGATATGAGTTAGGGCAAATCATCTCAATATAATGCCTTAATAGGTATAGGTACTTTATGAATATTCATGGTCTGGCAACTTGAATTAAAAATCATGTTTTTAAAAATTAATTTGTAAGCAGAGTAACTCTTGAATCTAGAATACAGAGAAGAGATGAAGTATGTAACATAAAGTAAAAAAATATATTACATTAAAATAGATTATAATATAATATAAATATTTTGTGAAAATGAACCTTTAATCAAAATAATTTTAAAATATTAAATAGATACTTACTTGAGAAAGTATAATGTAAGAGACAAAAACTGTGAAAATGCCAGCCATGGCAAGGCGCTGGATTTTGGTCATTGCTTCTTTCAGGAAGATATGAACAAAGTTATCAATATTAAAAACCTCAACAAGCTTCCATTCATAACTATCACTTAAAAATTGTTTAAAATGTTAGCCTGAAGAAGTTAACTTTCTTTTCTAAATTTATCAAAACCACTGCAACATGTTTTTTGATTTATCAAACAACTCTAGAAGTCAAATTGGCTCTGTAATAAAGTACCTATATGTGAACTTTTAAAATTGAATCTTAATGCTTCAGATGTGAATAAATCACACCTCTAAGCCTAGGCACCACTGGATTTTTGTTGGAGTCTTATCATTATCTTGCATTTTTTTTTTAATTCAAATTTCTGAAATTTTTACAAGCCAGTGAATGTTGCATCAAAGAAAAGACAAGGGAATTAGGCACTGGATATTTTTGTGGGAAGTTCACCATGCTGCATATAAGCAGGTATTGACTAAGGCAAAGAATTGTGACCATTCTTCTTTTCTTCTTTTTTTGAGGGAGTTCTCTCCCCCCACTAAAAGCTGAGATGAAGGTCCAAGGTATTGATAGATCCTTCAAACGCAAGAAAAACTCCCTCCTTTGGTGGGTGAATAGCAAATAGGGTGCAAGATGGAAAGACCAACTGTATCTTATGTGTTGCACTTGGAGCACACAGGTAATGGCTGAATCAT